CTTTGATACTCCAATTGTGAAATGGGGAAAGACAGAGGACACCAACTTCTACATAATCCCATGCAACCGTCTAGTGGCCCCAGCAATTGTCGTGCCCAATCTACTAGAACAGCAGCCTCAAGGGAACGTTGCCAATGCCAATGCAAGGAGAACCTACAAGAAACGCAGAGCCAAATTGATGCAAGAACCTGGAAATGAACCACTTGGAGATGGATATTTTGTTGTGGACAATCAAGAACAAATGGCCCAGAGGATGGAGGAATTGATAGACGACATAATGGAAAGGGATTAGGACACAGTATGCAGTATGATGAATAGGTTCAGCATGCACAATATCTCCTACCTGAAACTGTCCCACATCGAGAACTAACTGAAACTGTCCCACATCTAGAACTAAATGCGTTTATCTAATGTTGTTGCCGTTGTTATATCTTCTGGAAAATTCATTGACATCCATATACCGAGATCCAGTGGTGTCCTTTTTGCTTACTTTGGTAGCAGGTGAGGCAGGGGAAGGCTCGTCTTCAGGTCTTGTCCTCTTGGTGGGGCTTCTGATCTCTCTCTCTTTCCTAAATCGTTCTAGCTCATCATTGGCATCTTTTAGATAGGAAGGAAGCATGTTATTTTTTTGCAGTTGATAGTCATTATCTTTCAGCCATTTCCACTTCCCCTTGTATGGCATGCCATATAAAGTCAAATCGTTCTCATCATCATAGAACTCTTCTTGTAGCCAGTCATCAATATCTTGGAGAACGTTCCATTGATTGTCCTTGGAACCGCAGATTTTCTGACAAATCTGCCCCTTTTGTATAAGACCGGATGTGGGTGTCCTAGTGTAGTCCCGTACCAACATCCGGCAAGGGCCTTGTCGCCATCAAGAGTGGGAGCGTTCATTCTGCTTAAGAGACTGGAGAAGCCCAAGTGGTCTGTCCTTCCGATTTGAAGCTGATGACAATTGGAAATAGCCCGTTTGTGGTTTGGGTCCTTTTCAAGGAAGTTTAAAGTAGGATTATTGTGGTATTTTGGATTGTCCATTTTGTCACCAGGAATATAGACAACCGGCATGAAAAGGAGACTACAAACGCTGTCAGACTTATTCCTATTTTCATTGAAACTCTTGGAAACCGATATTTGTCTGACACGAGAATCGTTGCCGATGAGTCCGGCAGCACCTTTGGCAACTCCATGTTCAAATTTGGAGATGTAGAAAGATGGTTGTGGGATGTAGATAGATGGTTGTGGGATGTTTGGAGCCGACATGATGTTGCTATGCAATTTGAATTTTCAAATCGGTCTTGGATTGTACAAAAATTCTGGTACTGGGGCAGCGTAGCAGCCCTACAATACTAGGCTGAAGGAGGAAAGTGCAAAAAGTTGGATACCGCTTGAGGATTGGCACCTCAAAATGTACATAACATAAAGTACTAGAAATTGTCGTGACGGGCTCGCTGCGTCAAGACCAAAACCAACAAACACAGAAACTGTTTTCAAAACCGGAGGAAACAGCAATGGATTCCTAGTGCAATGGATAGGAAGGAATCACTGTGCCCAACAAACAACAAACAGTATGATGATTGGCTTCAGAAGGCACTAACCATAGCGATCTCCGATCCGTCTAATAGGAAATAATCATCTCTACAGGAAATAACTATTCTAAAAGACTTGTTATCTACATGGAATGGGCAAAGCAAAAGCCTTGCACGAAAACTCAAATTTCCCAAGCCTTTACTGGATGTTTGCAATCCAGAAAGGCCGGTACAAAACCCACGTACAGAACTCCCGCAGGATTCAGTATGGGATTTTCGTGGCGCTCAGACGTTTTCAGATTCCCTGCAAAAACCGACTCATAGGAATCCCCCGAATAAACGGACCAAACGGACATTTGTCCGTCTGTCCGATCGGACGTGTCGAACTGCTTCCATCAAGGAGTTTCCAATGAATGGTCTCCAAGAGAGCAATTTCAACACGCTCCTAACTCTGAAGATCAGAGTAGGAGAGACGTCCAAAAGCATGATGTTCAGCTGGAACATCACATGAGCTGCACCCTTGTACACACCCATGTTGCCAATGGACAGGCACACCAAATGGTGGACTGGTGCGTGTGTGTGTGCAGTCAGTGATCTTGGAGGATTTAGCGCTGGCGCTCCTGTTTTTCCCACAAACATGGAGGCGGCGGTGCCACAGAAGATCACTTGTGGACAAAGGGGGGGACGATTTGTGGCACGGCGCTCCTGAGTTTCCACATGAAACTTCCCGTCGCGACGCCAAATGTCCAGGCCCCATCACACTTGAAAAACAAAAGGATGATTGTAGCTTGATGGAGGGAGGCCAAGAACAGTAGATAGGCCTCCGACTCCGCGCCAAAACAGCCTCCTTGAAATTTCACAAAGCAACAATACACCTTGCCTTTGAGCTCCATCACTCCCCCACACGACCGACGACAACTGGCCTTGAAATTACAAAAAGCAATCTCTCCAGCTGCCGCCTTGGGCGAGAAAAACGGAAAGGTCTCCACGGTGCGGCTGATGTTGGATCCAGCGCTGCGACCGCTCCTTCTTTCGTCCAAGCTTCTTGCGCTGAGGAAAGACCGCCTCTGTGGGTCAGTTCCATGGCGA